AATTCTGACAATATCGTGGACAGAACACGTCACAAAGAAAGAGGTTCTGAGAAGGATGAATAAAGAAGTAGAAATTTTAAATACAACTAAAACTAGAAAGTTGGAATATCTCGAACATATTACACGTGGAGAGAAAAACACCTTGCTCCAACTGATTATGCAGGAAAGATTCAAGGAAAGAGAAGCATAGAATGCGTAGAATGTCATGGCTGCGCAACTTGGGAGAGTGGTACGGATGTACATCAAATGAACGTTTCAGAGCAGCCGTCTCAAAAGTCCGAATAGCTATGATGATTGCCTACCTTCAGCCGACCTTGCCGCGGAGATGACACTTAAAGAAGAAGAAGAAGAAGTGTATTTTTATAAACAGCTTTGCGTAGTATATTTCTTTCAACGCCTGACAGAGAAAATTTATTGCTGTTGGTTGACGTTCACGTTTCTTATCTGTATTTGTCCGTTTCAGTATTCTGTACATTCTAAATACTGTTTTTTAGATACACGTTTATTTGTTAAATACAATATAACTATTAATGTACAGTACAGAAAGAGCAGACATACTTTTAAACATTGATGTTGTGTTTTCTTTGGATCTATAATATGGTTACGACTTACTTATGTGACAGCTATTTCAGTCGCCAGAAGAAGTTATCAATGCCTTTCTTAACAGCGATTTTGCAGGTGTCAACTGAATACTGGAATAACTGTTTTATCAATTGGTTTGAAAGTATGCAAAAGTGTAATCTCTCGAATATTTAAAGATCAAGTTCTCACATAAAATGGATACAATATTATTAGCGTCATTTCTGGCGTTTCTTTTTCTAAACATATTTAAAAACTATATCTAAATACCTGTTTACCGTATTTTCTTTGATTATATTGATTGAAGTTTCAAAATATACCTTATATTGTTTTTTATTTATTTGATTAAGTAATAAACTAAATCTTTATTTTACTTCGTAATATATTTATTATCGTCAAAATTCATTGACCTCCCAATACACAACGACGTTTATTCTGCTACTGTGATTCGTATCAAAACTTATGTTTCACAATATGCTCAGACAAGTTGGCAATAATTTCGTTTTCCAACGTTATAGTTTCTGAACATGGCAGTATAATAGCTCGGCCAATATTGTAGAAAAAACCGACCACTGTTTTATGCCCGTCCTTTTTTGCTTCTTTTACTGGAAAAGTTCTGAGACTAAGCAGAGAAGGTTTAAGGAATATTTTTTGAATGTGTATCAATTTTTACAGCACAATATAATTTTATTATTCACTACATTGTATGTACGTAATACACACTATTATAACAAGTGGTACATCATCATCATCATTTAACTCGGATCTATCCACTGCTGAATATAGGTCTCCCTCAGTCTTTTCCATGTATTTCTGTTTTGTGCTGTTTGCATCCAATTTTTGTCGATCCGTTTTATGTCATCAGACCATCTTGTTGGTGGAAGACCTCTACTTCGATACACTTCTTGTCTCGGTCTCCACTGTATTATTCGCTGTGTCCATCTGTTATCCGACATTCTAGCTATGTGCCCCACCCAGTTCCACTTAAGGGTCATAATTCTTTCTATGGCATCTGTCACTCCTGTTCTCCGTCTTATTTCCTTGTTCGTGATCCGATCCCTCCGATCGTTCAATGGGTTGTTCTTATTATTTTTGTTATTATTAAGGAATAAAACAAACAACCTAACTCAACAATATAGTAAACTCAGAATTGTAACCAAATTAAAAGATAACTGGGCACTTTCAGATGCAGCAAAACATTTTAACATAAGTAGAACCACAGTTTTTCTATTAAGAAAAAATTGAGGGAACAATAAACTCTCGAAAGAAAGCGAGGGTCTGGAAGACCAAAACTATACTAAATTAAGGTATGTAAAAATAAAATTAATATTTTGTAATATCTTCATCAGCATTGATAACAGCTTGTAGTCTTCGGTCCATCTGCGTGAAAGGAACTATGAAATTGTCTTATTCAGAGAGCTCTTCAAAATTTTGTCGATACAACCGTTTTATAATAACTCCCACATATTCTCGATTGGGTTTGAATCTGGACTTTAGCTGGGCCATGGTAAGATTTCGATGTTGTTATTCTGGAGTCACTGGTTCATTATATGTGCAGTGTGACTAGGACAATTATCTTGTTGGAGGATAAAATTATTTTCTGGATACAACTGTTCTACACTGCGAAACATTATGTTTTCTATATTATTCAGATAAGTCTGCCCAACAAACCTGTCATCAATACGCCATACCATTCCCATTCCTCTAGATAAAATCCATCTCCGTACATTGACGCTAAAATGACTAGCTGCTCGATATCTATCAACATATAGAGGATTAAAACTACTATTATCTGGTCTATACACCCAAATTTTGCCCTTTTTAGAAGATTGAAAAATTTTCTTATCCGTAAATATTACTCTGTCACAAAAATCTTTTTTTTGTAGCTAATGGTTTAGCAATTTACCCTACGTAATATTTTTTTACCCATTTTTTACTAATTTATTACCACCCTAATAAGTTTTCACCACCAAACCAACCTTAAGGGGAACGATTCTGCTGGCTTAAGGTTCAAGCTAGCGGAATTCGAAAAAAAACTTCTTGATTATGGTATATTTTTGCACCCATTTTCACTAATTTATTACCACCCTAATAATTTTTCAACATCAAACCACTCTTAATGAGAGCGATTCTGCTGGCTTAAGTTTCAAGCTAGCAGAATTCAGAAAAAAACTTTTTGCCGATGGCATATTTTTTTTATCCATTTTTCACCAATTTATTACCACCCTAATAATTTTCCACCACCAAACCACCCTTAAGGGGAGCGATTTTGTTGGCTTAAGGTTAAAACTAGTATAATTCCAAAAAATATTTATGATATACCACAGTACTCTGCTAGGATTTTATAAATTTATTACCAAACTAGTAATTAATTATCCCTCAACTACTCCTTATGAGAGGTTAATAATTTAACTGAAAGTATAATTTTTTTTACCAGGTTTTTACTGAATTTTATCCACTCTCATAATTTTTGACCCCCTAATTCACAGTTAATGGGAAACATTCAACAAGTTACGCATTCACTCTAGCTAAATGCGAAATCTTTTTGGAAATACAAAAGTGCTCTGCTAGATTTTTACTATAGTTTTACCAGCCTAGTCATTGTTTTCTTAACTAAGCTAATTAAAAACATTCTGTAATGTTTCACTGTGCTAACTAATATTTATTTTTTAAATGTTTAAATATTGAAAATATGAAAATAGTTTATTACAAAAATTATAAATTTTAACTGTTTTAAAAAATTGACTCTGATTGTAGTAGTGAGTACAGGGCTAAGAGAAATCGAATTGTGAGTCACTTTTATAAATATAGAATAACTGAAATTAAGTTGAGTTTTAGTAAATACAATGGAATTGTTATATTTCACAAAATAATTACCAGGAAAGAAATATTCAAATTGAAATAATTTTATTATGTCTATTACATTAATTACCTAATTGTAAAGGAGGGTCGGGATACCTTGCGCATCTATTGTTAAAAGATTACTGTTCCTGAGTGTATTTTCTGTTGAGTACAATTTTAGTAATTTTTATTAGTAAAAACCAGTGCATATTCATCTACGCACGATCACGTCTATAGTTGATTTTTAACTCTTGAAATGTGAAAACATGCATTTTATTTTATTCTGGATGAAAAAGTACGACTTTACGCCCCCAAAATTAGAACCTCAAGTTCAGAATTTATGCCCAGTGTGTTAGGTGAAAAATATTAAAAATACCTTATATATCTCTGTTTTTTCAGTTTAAACTTCAACCTAGCAGAATTATTGACTTCTTATAGAGGGGTAAACAATTGTGAAGGTAATAAATGAATTGGGAAATGTTTGTCAAACACAGTGGTGTTTGCAAATTACTTTTTTATTTTAACTTAGGCTACCACGGGTTAGTTGAGATGCGGAAAATTAGTAAAATCCGAGCAGAATCATGTGGTATTTCAAAATTTTTGTTCGAATTACCTAGCTTAATCTTCGAGTTTCAGCTTAGTATTGGCTTCCCACAAGGAGTAGTTAAGAAGTGAAACATTAAGCAGAGTATTAGCAGAGTATTGTGGTCTATCACAAATATTTTTTTTTAATTCTATTAGTTTTAACCGTAAGTCGGCAAAATCACCCCCTAAAGGGTATTTTGTGGTAAAAAATTATTAGGGTGGTAATAAATTAGTGAAAAATGGGAAAAAAAATATTTCGTGAGTTAAATTGGATTCCGCTCATTTGTCCCCCTGCTAGCTTAAGAGTACTATGGTTTTGTTTTTGGGTACTAATGCTTGACGTTACATTATACAGTACATCGTAGCTGTGTCAGGTTTTTTCTCTTTTTCTTCTTCTTCTTTCTATGCACACAGGATTCTGTCTGTTTTTTAATGTGCCTCCAGTAAGTTGTCGTTACATCGTTTTCGTGGCCTTCCTACTGATCGTCTTTCAAATATAGAAGATCTATAGTTCTGTCCCATAGTGTTTTGCCCTCAATTTTTTAAGTCTTGTCATCTCTAATGTTTCTAACATCCTTTTTTTCTCTCTGTGTCAGGTTGTGTTTCTGCTGCCTATGTTACTATTGGTCTGATGATTATTTTATACATTCTGCCTTTCATTTTTCCTCGATACTCTATTCACTTGGCCTTCCACTTCTGTTTCGAGATTTTCGTAGCTGGATAATGTGATGCCTAGCTATTTAAAATCCATCATTTGTTCTTTTATCTGACTTTCCAGTTCCAATTTACATCTTGGAAAATTAACATGTTGAATTTTCTGGCGGTTTTTCTATACAACCACAACTCGAATTATTCCAGTTTTTTCATTGATGATTTTAAATTCAGTTTTGTACATTTACTAATTATTACGAAATACATTTACGTAAGAGTTTAAATGATTAAACTGACGTCCCCCAGTTATGACTAATAGTTTTGTAATAAGTAAAATCTCTTACTTGGAATCCATCGTAAGTCCACGATCCGAACTTCATGACGCACGTTTGTTCGTCGAATGGAAAATATTCGACGTCTATCTCGCAGGAAGACTTGTAAATGGCTGGTGGTTTCCAGTCAACACGCCCCGTGTAGTTGAGGGTAGCCTTTGTGGCGAGCGTCACCTCAAAATTGCCATCGGCACTGTAATACAAAGAATATAATTATTAATAAAAACAATGAATTATATTTACTTTAGGGCCAAATATCTGTTTTTTCTGTACACTAGGAAGTAAATTTGTAGAAAGTCGATAAATATTGACTGTCTTTCAAAGTTTTTTTTTAAATAAAGACTATAAATCTTTTTGACTATTTTGACTTATATTGTTATAATATTATCACACAATTTTTAAAGTTATACTTCTATACGCGCGTTCGACGTTAGAAATTTCTACGGGAGTGAATAGGAACAGGAAGGGACAGAAGATATATTTTCTCTCTCTTTCTTTCTCGAGAATAAAAATGTTCCTTTTGTAAATATATTTAATATTTATTATTAATATTTTTTATTAATATTATTATCATGGTATTATGTTGCAGTGTATTGTATTGTATTTTTATATTAATAACATGAATAATAAAAAATGAATTAAACTGTAGAGTATGTGTAAAAATTCTTTTTTTGCATTTAACTCCTTTTATACATATATGAAAATAAAAATATATATTTTGATTAAAATATTGATTCAATCCTTCATTTACTATACTCCTATTATAGACCAAATGTTAATATACAGCAAACGATGCACCAAATACCTAATTAAAAAAAAGAGGTTCAATCTTTGTAAATGGGTATATTTAAAAAACCCTTAAAAGGGCTACATCAAATTAACACGAACGTTTTCGGAATAATAATTCCATCATCAGGTTAAAAATGCAGGTTAACATGCCTGAGCCACCAAAATATTAGGGTGAAAACCCTTTAAAATACATAAGGTTACCAAAGATTGTACATATTGTTGTTAATTAAATTTGATGCTTAATATTTAATTATATTTTACTTTGGGTAACATACACTCATGCCTTAATATATACCTAATTCTTTTTCTCTTTCTGCTCTCTCTTACCTATAGCATTACATATGTAATGATTGTGTGGATTGACTCTCATATAAATTTACCATTTACATTTCTACCAGCAGTCCCACCTGACTGCCACACGCTGTTTTTTACTAAAGTGTATAAACAACAATATCTCAAATACATAAAATATTGTATATCGGAAAAGCTGCTTTAACAGCTGTTTCTATAATATATGTATGAAATCAGCAAAGTCAAAATACAGTCAGTTAATTAGAGTGAAGATTTATGCAATATTAAATAAGTAGTTATTAACATAATTATATAGAGGGTAGAAACCACTTATTGAATAATTTTTTTTACTAGTTTTAAAAAACTATAAGAAAACGCTGAGATCTGTCGATTTTTTATATAAATTTGCACTTTTTATATATATTATTATCCCTTCTTCGTATTAAGTGGTTTTCCTGTCAATATTTAAAAGTCATAAATGTCATCCAATTAATACAAATATTGAATCATGTATTTGCATTTTTATGACACTTCTAATATAAATAATTTTTAAATTATAAATATTATAAAATTTTTTTAATAATAACTGAAATAATTTCATATACATACAATGTCGAATATTTACAATTATTAGTTGAAATATTGTATTAAAGAGCGACAAAAGGAGTTATTAGTAAAACAATTTAAGAGGAGAAAAAATGTCGAAATTAATCCTAATTTGTTTTATTTTTTTTAAGTTTATTAAAATCTATAGGGATATTAACCAACAGCGGTTTTATGTAATTTTTACATATACCATTTTTCAAAGTAAAAACGTTGCACGTCACAATTTATATAAAGTAACGCCACTTATATTTAAAATTTCCAGAACGTCAACCTTAGACTTAAAATTTTCCTAACACAGCTAATAATACGAAACCAATGTGGAACTGCCCGATCTTTCATAGGCATAAACATGGTATAATAATCAGAAAAATGTAATCATCATTATATTGGGAATTTTAGAATTGTATTGATTCACCAAAAACATTTGTTATCATTAATAATATAAATTTTATAAAATAACTATAAGTCTAATATTCCACAAAATAATAATTTAAATTAAATATATTAGACAATTGTGCGCAACTGATATGGGAATAGTTCTAATTTTAATGATAGTTCAGCATGTGGCAAAATTGTTTAAAGTGTTTAAAAAATATGCATTTTATTTATGTTTTGATTTCTTACACAAGTTGATCAAAATATATTATATATTAATAAATTGTATTTATAAATACATATTAAATTTAGATTAATAGTTTTAAAAACTAATTTTATTGTTGTGTATTATGATTGTGCTATGCCAAAACAACTAAATAGTCGGTAGAAAGCTGATAAACTTTCATATAAGATAAATTATTTTTACAAGAAATAATGGCGGGACATTTTTACTACTAATGCTCTAAAAAAGGTAAGATTAAAATTTAGAATATATAATTTTGTATTAAAATGTTTTCTTATGTATTTTAGTGTACGGTAGTAGTCTTAAATCTAGGTTTATTTACTATTAATATAACAGTTTGACAAATAGTTGACATTTTAAAAACTCCCCACTTACTAACTATTCTGACGTTTTGGCAACGCTGTGGGGTTCTGACGACGTAAATTTTGAATAACGTGTAATCATTTTTATATGAAAAATTCTATAATACTTTATTATCATTTATTAATATTAAAAAAAACAATCGAATTAAAAAAAAAACTATAAAGCAAGATGATTTTCGTGACAGTGTTCCTATTTTTAAATCCACCGCTAAATCCTATTTATAACGTGACTCGAATATATATATATATATATATATATATATATATATATATATATATATATATATATATATACACTTATTTTATAATTTTATATAATATACTTTTTTATAACAGCTGGAGAGCGGCTGCCTAATTTTGATTTTAACATATTTGTATGCAATAAAATAAAATTAAATAATTTTAAATATATTTAAATAAAATTAAATTGAAGGTAATAAAATTAAATAATTTTAAATATAATGAAATAAAATTAAATAATATTAGATAAATTTAATAAAACTAAATGAAATTAAATAAAATTCAATAAAATTATAAAATTAAAAAAATATATATAAAAATTTATAAAACAATATAAAAACTTAAATAAAATTATAACATTTTTTAAATAATTATATAATTAATATTGAAAACGTATATTATGAATAAATTTTGTATTATATTTAAAAATTTTTGAAAATCAGCAAAATCATCAACAAAATTTTTAATGAAAAAATTAAAGTTTTTTTAATTTTAAAAAACTTAAATATGAAGTGTAAATGACATACATGTAGCTTTATCACACTATAAGAATTATTCACTTCTGTCGGCACTCCCCAAGTACCACGCTCTTTTTTTATGTTACACTTTTATTATCCATGAATTAAAGTGATATTTTTAATGTAATAATATTGGTGATAGAAAACATACTTGTTAAGGTTTTTTTAATAGAAGGAGTGTTTGAAGTTATTGTAAATAGACGGTAAATTGTTGATCTTCCACTTCTAAAATTGGTTTGTTCTTCTGATTTGTTGTTCTGTTGTTCGTTTTTTATTACGCTTCTAGCATCTTTTTATATACTCTTCATACTTTATTGGCGACTGTAATGCCTCGGTAGTTATCACTTACTTTGCTTCGTTTATGCATGTTTATAGTTTTGGAATAGTTTTATCAAGTGAGCGAATAGTTCGCTTACCCATTTTTTTTTTAATTCTCCATACATGTCACTAGAGCGCATGGTTTTTTTTATTCATTTCTTCTTTATTTTTATTAGCAATACAAACTGCTTAAATGTTGTATATTTCTTTTTTTCTTAAATTGTAGCTGCTATTTTATGAGTTCTTTAAAAAAATTTCCCACTGTACTGTTGATATTATAGTAATTATATCTTTTTTAAAGTTATCCTCATCCTACGTATGTGTCAATGAGCTTACATTGTTTTTCTGTTTTATAAATCAACCGAGGTTAATATTTAAATTATTTTGATATAATAGGTGTAACAAAATGAATTTTTTTTGCCAGTACGATTTTTACTTTTCACACATACTTTCCCTTTGTTATTTTAATTAATACGTTCATAACATTGGATTTTAAAACCCTGCAGATAATGGCTGTCCCGACTCTGCGGTAGCGATTCAGCTAATTAATTCGCAGACTAGTGAGATTGTCAACCTGAAACTAGGATAATTTCGGAAATAATGCATTTCGGTGATTATTTTGTTAATTAATATTGGTTAGTGCTGTGACATGATTCAAAATTGCGTTGTTTTATGGTAAACGTTATTTACTGGTCCATGTTTACTATTACATTATAAATGGTAATGGCAATCCTTATTATAGAATATAGTTGTTTAGCACATATAGCTGAGCTTTGAAATAATTATTATTTAAGTGTAATAATTTAACATCAGGACACAAGACAATTAAAATCAATTATTATTGACTATATTGTTAGGCAATGATCTGAAGGTAAAATACAAGACACCCGAGTATACAAAGGTATATAATGTGAATTGTATCTTGACTTACTGAAATCTCGAGCGCAAATTTCCTACACACATAAAAACAATCAAATCTCTACCAAAAACTATGAAATACTTAAGAGGGAAACAAACTTGAAGCCAGGAGAAAAAGTAACTTGTTTAAATTAGAGCTTAGTGAACAATTTGAAAAAAAATTATTGTTGTTGAAAAAAGCAAGAAAAGTTAACTTTAGAGACACCAAGGTAATAAAAAAAAACAACTTTTTTTGGACAGATATCGAACTACTACTCCGAAGAGAAGAACAAAAAATAATATGACTTTGGAAATCAGTCTTTGTACGAAAAATCAACTAGATGACAAAAATACTCGTTTACAGGACAGTGTCTTTTACTGCAACTTTTATTGCATTTATTAAATGTATTTTGTAACACCTCATCATAAGCATTAGACATTGTTTAACATCTATATATGACTTTACAATCAGTAGAACTTAAGAAGTGCAGAAATATCCTGCAAAGTTAAACTAGAAACAAAAAATTTTTTGTTAACTTACCAAATAAAATTA